CTAGACGACGACTAGACGACGACTAGACGACGACTAGACGACGACTATAGACGACGACGAGACGACGACGACGACGACGACGACGACGACGACGACCTACTAACTACTACCTACTACCTACTACCTACTGCCTACTACCTACTACCTACTACCTACTACCTGCTACCTACTACTACCTACTACTACACACAACTACCCACTACTACCCACTGCTACCCACTACTACCCACTACTACCCACTACTACTACTACTACTACTACTACTACTACTACTACTACGACTACTACTACTACTACTACTACTACTACTACTACTACTAGTACTACTACTACTACTACTACGACTACTACTACCCCTACTCCTATTCCTAGCCCTACTCCTACTCCTACTCCTACTACTACTACTACTACTGCTACTACTACTACTACCCCTACTCCTATTCCTAGCCCTACTCCTACTACAACTACTACTGATTACTGTAAATGAGAAGTCCTGTGGGACAAACAGGGACCTTCTTCTACCAAGGAGCGCTTCATCTCCAGAGCGATTGATAGAGCTGTTGAACCACGTTCATCCTCCGCACGTTTCACTCAAAGAAAAAGAGATGAGATAACACGAAACGTTCGCAACACCCAACGGATAGTTTGCATTAGGATTGTTTTGGATATGGTTTTTGACACAGTCTCTCTCCAAATCCAAAAAATCAAAAAGATCAGAGAGCGAGCAAACGACGTACGTTTTGAATTTTGGTTTTGCAGTCACTTGCAGCCACTCGCAGCCGCTTGCTCAGGCAGCCACTTGGCAGCCACTTGTCACTCAAGCAAGTAAGCTTCAACACGTGCACTGTGAGTTCTTTATCTAAAAGCTGCAAGATTTCTTCGTCGCTAGCTCTGCAGAAGTTTGGAAGTTATTCTCAAACAAGTCTTGGGTTATTTCATGATTTCTCCGCGCGCAGCTCTGGAGAAAACCGGAATTTCTTCGCAGAACAGCATTGCAGAAATCGTGGTTTTCTCCAGAGCTGCGTGCGGAGAAATCATGATATTCTCCGGACAGAAGTAGCAGTCACTTGCAGCCACTTGCAGCCACTTGCTTGGGCAGCCACTTGCAGCCACTTGCAAGTGGCTGCAAATGACTGCAAAATGGAAACTCAAAACGCGTATCTCCTGCGAGCTCAACGAAAAGGATCCAACCCAATGGATGACGGCGCAGCAAAGACTATTGGGTTAATAGTTTTGGTTTTTGCTTTTTGGGATTGTGATTTTTGACAGCAGCGCAGTGCAGAGATTCAGATATGATGATTGTGTGGTTCATGCCTGCAGTGCAGTGCAGAGATTTAGATATTCTGACGATTGTGGTTGAGCGCAGCGCAAAAAAAGACAAAAGGAGAAAAATGTACTACCCGTGGTCCCCTGTTCTGTTTGTTTTTGAGTGGCATCGACGTTGCAAGACTACATCGGCTTCAGTCTCTAAGTCAATCAAATGACAGCGCGGTTCCAGGTCAACTCGATATTCAGTTACTAATAGCACGCCTCAGCCCGAACAGTTGCCCCAGACCCGGAGGGTACCGTTACTGATTCTGAAAACGTCGCTCTCGCTACAACTAAGCCCGCAAAGACCACAGCAAGCTATCCATCGCAATCCAGACTCCCCAACTTGCAGTTTGCATATGCGCTGGACGCACCTGGAGACACCCCCGTCACAACTTTTTGAACTGGTGAGAACTCTGATCTGACAGCAAGGCATCGTAGTGAGCTTTGGCATCCATGCTCATGAGCGACATGTCACGGTATGTCTTGCTTTCCGTCGCCGCGATTGATTTTCAGGGCCCAGCGTTAACACGCCGCACATTCCCGCGCCGACTGGACGTGAGAATGGGCCACATATTGTTGGAGTAAAAAGGGGCCGCCTTCCTTATACTTTGCCACCGCATCAACGACACTCATTGGTAACGTCGAAGCTCTCGACTGAAAAAGCTGCAAAGCTTGCCTGCCTCGATTGCAAATGTTGCGCAAGCTCGTTTCTGTAGCTGGTTTGAATGCGGTTTGACGCGCAACGCGTCCACCTTTTTCGGGCTCACCCTCCTTAGCCCACTGCGGTCAGCGCTCGGCAAGCTCTTAGCCCAGCGGCGACTTACGCAAATCGCGGGCGCGTTAATAAAGACTTGCCAACTGTGTGGTATTTTTCTGTGGTTATTTTACCTACGAAAACAAGCTTGCGTGAAACTTACTATTGTTCCTCGAGGGGGTGGCTTTTGAGTTTCACATGCTTCAGGCGCCGGACCGCGGCGTTGATATCCAAGGTTTGAGGAGGCTGCTGCACTTACGCAACACGCAGGCGGGGCGCGCGGTCGGCCTCCCAGCTGAGACGTTTCTGGTTCCTTCCGCTTTGTCTTGGCGGTGTCCAGGACAAGAGCTTTTGCTGCGTTTTGCTGCGGCTGAGTCGGCTCTAAGGAGGTGCAGTGGAAGCGAGCCCCACCGTCCGGGGAAGGTGTCAACAAACCATGCCCGGCCAAAACGAGAGTTGCCGTTGTGGGCCCCGTGCTTCATACCAGTTGTAAGTACTTCAGCTGGCAAAAAAGCTACTGTGAACCGAAAAATGAGACAAGTATTGCAGCTGCTGTTGGCGCACTTGCACCTTTTGCAAGCAGAAAAGGTGTGGTGAAGGAACCTTCATCTTGGATGTCCGTGACCCTCAGCCCCTGATCAAGACATTGCACTTGCAAGCACTTCGGGCACAAAACCTCCTTAAATGTGGGACTGCCTCCAATCCAAGGCTGGCACGATTTTTCGCAGCAGTGTCAAAAATGGCTTCTCCAGTTTCTGTTGCAACTCCAGCAAGCGCTTGCAATGGCCGCTGTTCCACATCTTTTCCGCCTTGGGGCTGCACGTTACCAACCAATGTACTGCAGCAAACCTCAAAACGACTATCGACTGACAATGCCAATCTGTCTGCTCAACGAGCACTGCGCAACGCTGCTCCACTGGAATTGCATGATGCTGCATATAGATCCTTTCTTGACCCGTCGCTTAACCTCTGCGAGCAAAAGTGTCTTGCTGCGATCATTTGGACAATCCTTCAACGCGTGGCCATGTTCTCCACCTGAAAATTCTCTTGTTCTTGGCGCCAAAATGGCTGCTGACCTAAGCCGGAACCACCACGACCTCTACCTGGCCGTTTGACTTTCTTCTCGCGCTGCTTCACGGCGCCGCAGTTGCCATAAATGTAGTTGGGAATTTCTTTCGTATACTCCAGCGCGCGATCAAAAAGCAGGCATTCAAAGTTCTATTCTCTTCGCTGTCATTTTCTGAACTTTCATCAACAGCCTCATCGAGCATCAAATCCTCCTCATACTCGTCATCCACAATCCAGTCAACCAGATCTAGCTGATCCGGGGAAGCTCCTGCAACAAAACTCTGACCACCTTTGTCACAGAGCTTCTGGTGGATGTAGCGGTCGAAGCGCCGCACCATGTCCTGATACTTAATGGCCAAGCTCTCAAGCTGGGCATCCGTCAATGCTTCTCCTGGGGAGTGTTGCTGAGCGCTCCTGAGGAGTGTTGTTGATTAACTCCCCGTGAAAGCGCTCAACCAGCTTCGCGACGACTCTGGGCGTCCAGACTGTTGCGCGCCCGGAAAAGCACAGCCAAAGCCAAATCCTGTTGTCAGAGGAACATTACATATCATTTTGGGAAAACTAAGGTTCTTTGATCCTTGAAGGCTTCGAGGCTTGCTGTGGCATCTGACCAATACATGCACCAGGTGTAAAAAATGGTGGTGGAAGCGTCTCCTTGGACCGGGCTGTGGTCAAGCCCTGCTGGTTGGCACCTGAGAGAGCTCTGTCCGTCGCATTGCTCTGTAGCGACCACATCTTACATGGGTCAGAGTTCTGAAGGGGCCCATGGTCCAACGAAGTCAGCCGGCAGGGAACCAAGATCACAATCCTGGCTCCGCTGCCACTTGACTAACAGCAGCGAAAGCAAGGTGGTTCGCAAGATTCAAACAGGCATCAAACACCGCGAGTGTGATCCATTGGTCTAATGCATCTTTTCTACACGAGCCCAAGGCGTCTTCATTTCAGCATGAGTCATGGGAATGCCTTCGAATATTCCACATTCATGATTCACTCTCATCAGCATTGTTGAAAATATTGGGGCGCATACAAGCAAAGTCCTTGGTATTGAGTTCTGCTTTTTGATGGACAATGGTTCGTACAAACTCCACTTGGTTTGCTTCAACCTGGCAGGCACACTCAACGCTATGGCCGCTATGTTTTCATGGCATTGTGAAAATGAGCTTGCCATCATAAAGTTTTGTCCAAACATGATGGCAAAGCCGCAAGCATCAGCGATGTTTTGCCGTCAAATCGAAGGGCATTGATGTCAGCATTTGCCTCAAGAAAGGGAATGGATCTGATTTCAAGGCTACGAGGGCTTTGCATCTTTGCACCTCGAGCAGGAACTCTGCTATACTCCAAGCACCCACTTCGACCTTGAAAACAAAGAGGACATTGAATGAAAGCTCATCAGCTTGAGTTGTAGCTGCTCTCGTTTTGTAGCAAACCTTGATGCTCCTCTATCCCGTCTCACTCGGAGCGTCCAGTTGATTCTTTTTGACATCCGCCTTTCTGCCGTCAATCAGCAATCCAGCAAGTCTAGCCTCATCAGCTAAAAACCTCGGCTCGTACCCAATTTGAATGCTGGGCCCTGGCACTCAAACTACAGTTTTTCACATTGATATATATATATATACTGTATATAGTATACTGCTGAGAAACCCCATCCTAGTCTCACAACCTCCTTTTGCAAGGATCATCATTCCACCAATCTCCAGGAAGCTTCAAGGCACCTACGGCTTTTGATGCGCCAACAACCCGGCTGACAGGACTTGGTTGGCGTTTGAGTCCAAGAATCTCTCCACTAGTCTCATCTCACTACAGCGAGACCACTACGGAAAAACTGACAAGAATGGCATGCATGTATATAATATATATATATGTGAAATATGTCAAAGCGTGTACTCAGATTGAGCGCGAAGTTTGTTATATCGGGGCAGCTCTGGCAAAGCCCTGTAACCATTGAGAACGAACCAATGCATCGGCTGCAGTCTACCCGAACAGTTTCGGCATTTACTGCTTCGCTGTCTGTACCGATTCAACACTTCGGGTTTGCTGATCTGACATGCTTCCAATGCAGGCAGCAAACTGTGATTGCTACCATGGTTATCAACATCCAAAATGGTGCACACAAAAGAGTAGGAAACACAAAAAAGAATTGGTAGGAGCAACTATACTATACATTGCTACAAAATGCTATATACAAGCGTCGATCAGTGCCCACCACAACTAAACTTATTGGCAAGACGTGCGGAGGGGGGATAACAGCCTGGCAGTGAACAATACAGTAGCAGCGCTTGTATTGAATTATGTCGTGGCACTGGGCGGTCTTTGGCAATGCGCGTTCACTCCCAACATTTCTGGTGTTGTCTTGTTTCGTTCCTCTTGGAAAGTCTGGACTGATGCACCGATATTTGCCAGATGCAACTGTGTCATACTGCCATCGTCTATTCCTAAACTACATGAAATTGTTGGCATGTTTGTTTCATTCGTCCGATGTCTAGCTCATTGCCGATGATACGCCAATACGGATCATCCCATCATGTTGACTTTTGACCATACGGGACGTATTCGCAATAGCCAAGGTCGTCTTGTTTGCGCTGGACCACACTTTACCGACAGCTTACAGCTCGGAGATGGCACAAGATCCTGCGGTAGAAGCATAAATATGGATGGTAAAGCAATGACAATGCAGCAGCAAGGAGTTTACTTTTAAAGAAAAACACATATTTCTGGCATGTCTTCCTTCTGTCTGGCAAACATTCTGGCATTCTACATTATCTTTGGCATTCTACCCAGCATATCTTCCGAAATCGTGTTGGCATATCTTCTGGCATTCTACCTGGCATGTTTTTTGACATTGATTCTGGCTTACATTCTGACATCCTTCCTTGCCACTCCTTCTGGCACACCTTCTGGCATCTCTGCTGTAATATCTTACAGTATACAGTAATATCTTCTGACGCTCTAACTGGACAATGTCTGACATCCTTTCTGGCTTGCTATCTGACATCCTTTGAGGCACTCTATTTGGTATATTCTCCGGCATTTCTGGCATGCCATCTGACATTCTACCTGGCAGGTACTCTGACATCCTTCCTGGCATTATACCTGGCATATCTTCCAGCATTCCGTCTGGAAAATCATCTGACAGGCTACCGCCTTGTGGCATTCTTTCTTGCGTCTCTTCTGATATCCTTTCTGCCATGCCTTCTGACATTCTACTTGGCATATCTTCTGAATCCTTCCTCGCATTCTATCTGGCATATCTTCTGGCACTCTAACTGGCATATCTTCTGATATCCTTTGTGGCAGGCTATCTGGAATATTTTCTTACAATCTAGTTGGCATATCTTCTGGCATTCTATCTGGTGTATCTTCTCGTACTCTATCTGACATCCTTCCCAGCATTCTATCTCGCATATCTTCGGCATTTTTTCTGGCATATTTTCTGACATTCTACCTGGCATGTGCTCTGACATTTTTTCTGGCTTTCTACCTGGCATATCTTCCGGCACATTCTTTCTGGTATATCTGGCATATCTTCTTCTGACAACCTTTCTGGCATTCTAAACCATCATGCTCGAATGCACCAATGCACTGACCTGATATAGTTTCTGACTGTTTCTGAGATGTATTCTGACATGTGCTCGGGCACGCGCGTGCCCAGACCGAGCTGGATCGAACTGTGACATCGAGAGGAGAGGAGAGGAGAGGGAGAGGGAGAGGGAGAGGGAGAGGGAGAGGGAGAGGGAGA